AACAAACTTTGCCATGTATATTTCTTTCAAAGGGGTAGTCACTACCAACGGTTTTTCCATTATTTCTCAAGGTTTATTCAATCTTGACACAAATTTCGAGGAAACAAAAGAATGGAAAGCTCTAGGATCAAATAAGACCAATGCATCATAATTACAAATTAAAAGGATACCTGTCACCACATCATTAAAGGTAGGCACATCTTGCGGGCCTAGGACAAATACTTTTGCTTGTCCTCCTCCGAAAGTACCCTGTGACATTGACTCAGTAGATCGGGATCGGGAGGTGGAAGCTATCCCCTTGCCTTTATTGAGTCGGCTTCTGCTTACTAGAGGTGAAACTGCAGATGCTACCACTGAAACTGGTGGCACATACCCACGACCAGTTCCTTGGGATCTTCTTTCATAAGGGTAATCTCTTTGCATATGTCCCGGTTGGCCACAATTAAAGCATACTTCAAATGATCGAGCACATGGCCCCATATGCATAGTACCGCAACGTGCGCAATAAGGATTATTAAGGCTAGTCATTTCATTACTAAGTCCTCAACGATTATTTACCCCAAGAAAATTCCCACGTTGAGATGAACTACCAAACTGGGGATTCCTCCTAAACCCTTGGGATCCAGTTGATGCTTGCCCTCTATTCTGAACTATATCCCTCCGACCAGGTCGGCTTGCTCCCTCAAAAATCATTTCTCGACCTGTGTTCCTATGACTAGTTTGTTCTTCAGCTTTAATTCTTCTAGTCCTTTCACGAAGTGCCCTAGCTTCCATACTACGACCCTCAATTAGCCGAGAACAATCTATTGCATCGAAGTATGAATCAAACCTCTACGGTGCAACAGCTTTGAACAAATACTCAGACAGTCTAGCCACAAATCGATTCACCGTTATTTCTTCTGAAGACACAAGGTATGGGGCGTATCTAGACAATTGCGTAAACTGCACATCATATTCAGATACTATCATCCCGGGTGTCTATCTCAGAGCCTCAAATTCTCTAGCCTTAGCTGCTCGCACACTACGAGGCATAAATCTATCCATAAAGGCTTTATCAAACTCTTTCCACCCAAGTGGACCGGCATCACTCGATCTACCCCACATGTACGATGTAATCCACTATTGTGCTACATCTTCAAAACAAAAACTAACCAAAGTTACTGATTTGGTACTCGAAGCTACCAAGGCACAGTAGATCCTCTTCCTAGTGTCCAAAAATCTACGTGGGTCTTCTCCTATTGTGGAACTAGTAAAAGATGGAGGTTTTAGTTTCATAAATGCAGATAATGATACTGAGTCATCTCCTTCATCATCATTTGAATCATTTTCATCCTCCTCCCCTGACTTTTCTTCCATTATCATATCTGCATCTGGATCATGGTTTGGATCTTGTGAAGCAGACTCCGTGCACTCTTCAGCCGCACTAGTACATCTTTGAGTAAACTCGGTAAACTGTTGGGTCAAATTTCGTAACCCAGCAGCTAACTCATCCAAGGTAGTGCTCTCTACAGTCGGTCTACCCGCTTAAGTGCTATTCGTACTAGCACTCTTGCGATCATTGGAACTACCCTCACTTGAGCGTCGAGAACTTCTTCTCCCCCTAGTTCTAGGATGACCTCGTCCGCGTGAGGGAGAAACCCGTAATAGCTAATCCGTTTCTCGAGGTGCGTCTAATCCAGCCGCAGCCCTCCAAGATTCTCGAGTCTAAAGTGGCATCTTAAACCTAGACATCGATAATAAATTTTCATTATTTAATAATCTCTTATAATTCTACGTGATCGTTTTCTAAAATAAGCAAGTCTACGCAACCTCATGCCTATAATCGGTGCTGCAGTCACTGACTATAAGCAAGACTCTATGTTGACCTTACTACTCCGCTGCTTGACATGAAAATTCCTAGGACTTAACTAAACCTACGACTTTGATACCAAATCTGTAATGACCTCTTCCCTCGATAGCTACCGGCGTTTGAGACTTGCGAGTGAACTCGTCAAATCCCAAACAACCCTTAATTAAATCTCCAAATCAACATAAAACATTAACTCTACAAGTCATTCGAACCAAATATTCACAATATTTACAACATAACCATTTGATACAAACATCTATGTCTGATAACTCCATACAACTCGTCATAGTATACAGACATTATTACATAACCTTAAACTCTAACCATTACATTTTTTAGTAAATATTGTTTCTTACAAATCAGGTTATTTAATATACAAACCGACCTCTAGGCAACCGAGTGACCCAGAGTAAAATACTAAAGATGCTGTTACCTAGGGTGTAGCCAACCTTGCGATACTGAACAAAATCCTAAAATTGGTTACTTATCTGCAAAAGAAAATAAAGTGGGGTGA